CGGCCGCGGCGCTCCCCGGCAGCCCCGGGGCCGAGGGCTCTGCTTCACGGGGCTGCTCTCAGGAACTGACAAGCTCTGAAGCTCTTTAAGGAGAGTCACTTCAAATAGTCCCTTAACACCCACATCGCTGCAGGAAGCAACTTGTTTGAGTTGCTCTAAGGGCCGCTCAGTGCCTTCTAATTACCCTTTTTTTCTCCTAAGGCTGTGGCCAGCAGCCTGTGCCTTTGCCAAGGAGAGGAGCGGGGCAGCGTCAGTTCGGGTACCTGTGCAGCACCCCCCTGCCCTGGTGAGAGCCCTGGGAATGGGCATGCACGCGTTGAGCCTGATTTTAACACCGTGCTGCCCAGTCACCCCTTTCACCCATACACCGATTGTGTCGGGAGGGTCCCCGTTCCGCTGTTCCTGGTCGCAGGGTGTCCTGTGGGATGAGGAGGGGAGGGTTTCTCCCCCCGGCGCGCGTTGCTCTGCCGTGGCCCGAGCTCGGCGCCCGGGGGCAGAGCTGCTGCTGCGCCGGCGCTCGCGGTAACGAGCAGGAACTGCATCCAGCGCGCGGAAAATCCTGGGGCTGGGCTCATGGGCTCTCGCCTTGCCTGGTTTCACTGAACCTCAACAATTTCCCCTTCACTGAGATGTTCATTAGTATTCTCTGGAAACCCAGTAATTAAGTTCTAGTGGGCTTTTGTTTTTAGCTTTTAATTGAAATTGTGAAGGTCCCTTGCTGCAGATGTCAGGTGACACATCGGCGCGGGAGGGGGACCCGGGCAGATGTCGCTTGGAAAAGTGCAAACGCAGGCGGCGAGGCTGCTGCGCCGGAGCTCGGCCGCGTCCGCGCGGCTCCAGGGCAGGGCGCTTCCGCTCTCCTTTTCTGCAGTATTTGATAATAATCCTGAACCTACCACTTGCCTGAACCATCAGGCTAAAGCTCCCAACTACAGGGTTGTAACACTGCTAAATTACCACCAAATACATTGACAAAGGATGAACTCGGAGCCCAGGCACCTCTGAGCCCTTGTTTCCCTTCTTTTCCTAGTGCGTTTTGCTGTATTATTTTAAAATACTGCTGAATTCCTTGAGAGCTTTTACCAAGGGAATAGGTTGTTTACGGAGACAGAGTTTGTGAGCTCTCTTCTGAGGTATTTCAGACACTTAGACATCCTCGAAAGCCATATACGATGTGAAATGGATGTTCGCTGTTGCGAGGATGGTTGGAAATGAGCTCCCTGAGCAAGCCTGGTGCGCATCGCAGCGGAGAACCTGCGATTCCCGACGCTGCTTTGTTTGCTTGAAGGAGCTATTTAAACTTGCACAAAGAATTTTAACAGTTACTAAAAAAAATGCTGCTACCTTTGCCAAGAAGTTATGTGATACACTCTGCAGCTAGGAAGTATACATCTGTAATAAATGATCCGGATTAGCAGGCAGGCTTCGGAGGAAAGAATACTCCCACTGCAGATCGTAGGAAGATTGCAGTATGCATTTAGCTTCAGATTTAATATGATCTTTTAAAAGTTTTCTGATCTGTTAAAAATAATTGTGAGGTTGCCCTGATTGACTTAGTGTCGTTTGAGTGTAGTGCTCTATTGTTTGCTTTGACCACCTATCATTTCCACTTGTCTCCCACTCAGAAACGGTCTTGTTCAGAAATGTTTGCCTTTGCTTTATAAAAATTCTCCAGCAATGTATTATCAGTCCTTTATGGCAAAGAGTAGGGGAGGCAAGAAGTGCAGTTTTCCATGTCATTTGCTATGACTGTTATGCTAAAATACATACTGCAGAAAGTGTGTGGATTTATTGGCATTTTAGTAACGACCGTCCCCGTTCTGCCCTGTCTTTATCTGGTTTTGGTCTCTGGATGTGTCTGTTCTGCCCGGGGTAGCTGTGTTTGCGTTAAGGCAGGTTCTGCTGGCGAACCCGCTCCCCGCGTCGCGTCGCGCGCTGCTTGTGGCAGGGCTGGTTGACGCGCGCCCGGCGCGGGGGCACCGCGCGCTGGGGTTGCTGAGAGCGGCTCCCACCCCAGCCGTGATCCCGGGGGGCGAACGGGGCTTCGTGTTTAGGGGTCAAAGCGGGCGCTTATTCAGATGCGTGATATATTGTACAGCGTCATCCCTTCATTTTTAATGGGCAATACCTGTTTTCCCTAGCAATGATCTAGTTGAACGATCTACTATAAAACTGTAATTAGTTTTTAGTAAAAAAAGTTATCGTTAGGCATTACCTACAGATATGGTTGTTTGTTACTGCTGTTTAGAGCAAGTTATATGGCATTATACAAAAGTGTAAACTAGGAATATATGGGCTGCTTTCATTTGTAACCGTTGACTTGCTGCTCTGTGATGTTCTGGGCCAGGATGAGGTTTTGGTACAGCAGAGGGTCTTTATGTGCCATATAAAATTTTAGTACTGGACAAATTACTGTACCTTTTTAGTGTTTTCTTTTTGTGTGTGTTTGCATGAAATAAAAATGTGAGTGCAGTATCCACAGGATATGTAAAGTCAGTTCTAAAACAAATCTTCAGGTGGCCTTATATCTCTCTCTATATGTGCATTTTCATAGAAAACTTACTCAAATATCATAAAGTGTTGAATTATAT